TAATTCAAAGCAGCTGGACATGAGATCAATTAATAAATCTTAGCAAATCAATAGCTCCACAGATACAGGGACCCTGGGTTTTGATACAGTGCAGATTTCCCAGGATGGACTCAGTTCATGTCATTTCATTCTTTCCAAAGGGGATTTCTCAAATGCATAACTAGGAGTCATTTCACCTGTGTATCTTTAGGAAGACTTCGTCTTCATATATCCATAAGTCAGAACAAATCCTTTGTTGGATCATGTGTCTGAGCTAAGATTAGGCAATTATGCTCAACATACCTAGAGAGGAATTTTAGCTTGTGATTGATCAGTCCCTAATGGTCACTTCAAGAAATTCTTGTCACCATCCATTTATTTTCAAAATACTGTAGACTTTTGATGCAGCTAAAACCTGGAAACAACTTAAATATCCTTCAAAGGGAGCTCACTGAATAAATTACAGGAGATTCCCACTCTATCATTCTAATCAGCATTCTCCCCCCCCCCCAATAATCAGGTAGTTCTATTTTCTGTATTTTCTGATATGAGAATGCCTCAAAAATATATTATTAGATGAATAAAAAAAAGACTTTGTGTATAATGATGATCCCAAGTTTGAAAAAGAAAAACAAAGACTATTTTCACGTAAACCCAAGTTTTAAATTGTTCCTGCAACGATACATAAGAAATTGTTAACAATCATCACTTTTATGGAGAGGTGCTTAGGGTAAGAGATTGGATGAGAAAGGAGGCTTTTACTTTTAATTTATATCTTTATGCATTGTTTGAATTTTTACCAGCATATCTATTATTTTTACTTTTAAAAAATCCATTTTAATGAATAGAGTAACAAAATAGCAAAAATGATAAATTAATTAATTTTTTTAAAGATTTTATTTAGTCATGAGAGACAGAAAGAGAGAGAGAGAGAGGCAGAGAGGCAGAGGCACAGGCAGAGGGAGAAGCAGGCTCCATGCAGGGAGCCCGATGTGGGACTCGATTCTGGGTCTCCAGGATCACGCCCTGGGCTGAAGGTGGCGCTAAACCGCCGCACCACCCGGGCTGCCCTTGATTTTATATTATAGTAAACACTGTATAATAAACAACCATGATGTGTTGCACTTGGAATTTTAAAAAAAAATTTTTAAAGACTTATTTATTTATTTATTCATGATAGACACAGAGAGAGAGAGATTGAGGCAGAGACACAGGAGGAGGGAGAAGCAGGCTCCATGCCGGGAGCCCAATGTACGACTCGATCCTGGGACTCCAGGATAGTGCCCTGGGCCAAAGGCAGGCGCTAAACCGCTGAGCCACCCAGAGATCCCCAAGACTTTATTTTTTGAAGGGGCACCTGGGTGGCTCAGTCAGTTAAGCATCTGTGTTTGGTCCAGGTCATGATCTCAGGATCCTGGGATGGAGCCTTATATAGGTCTCCCCATTCAGCAGGGAGTCTGCTTGTCCTTCTCAAGCTCCCTGTGCCCCTCCCCAAAGTGGTGAGCACTCTCTATCTCAAATAAGCAAATAAAATATTTTTAAAAGATTTTTTTTCTTTTAGGTAGGCTCTACACCCAACTTGAGGATTGAATACACGACCCTGAAATCAAGAGTCACATGCTCCACTGACTGAACTAGCCAGGAGGCCCTAAAGATTTTGTCTTCAAGTAATCTCCACACCCGATGTGTACACCAAATTTACAACCCTGAGATCAAGAGTCACATGCTCCACTGACTGAGCCAGCCAGGCATCCCCTGCATTCGTAAGTTGTAAAAATAAAGAAAAGATGCTTAAAAACAACTCCAAAACTAAATTACTAATGACTGGCAACTTTGCTGTTGTTATTATTTATCACTGTGTTGCTTAAATATTCCTGAGACATCTCCAACTATAGTGAATACTTGTTTATTAAATCTAAGTAGGGTTCATGGTTTTCAGCAAATGTTCCCCAAAAGCCTTGTTCTCATGAATATATAAATATATACATATATAATTTACGTGTAAATAGATTTATTGAGATTTGTAACCTAGCGATGTGCTCATTAAAATTTATTTTTAAAGGTCATAATCCTTCTATGGACCATAAATACCAATTTATTAGGCAAAAGCTGAAGCTAGACATGTTGTAATCACTCCTATTTATTTATGTAATTTCCCCTCTTTTCCCCAGATGTCACAAGGCTAGGCTAGGACTGTGATAGAAGAAATTCTGTGGTGTTACAGCTCCTTCAGTTGTGAGCAAGCAGTGACTGCAGCTGGTAGCCTAATTTCCCCAGGTGGGTTATTAGCACCAGCAAATCCCTTCAAAGGAAGCTTCTAAAACAGCGGTCATAATCTTTTGGGGGCCACAGATCCCTAGAGGTAGTCCTGCATGGTGTGGGGGTTCAAAGAACATGAGCTTTGCAACTGGACAAATCTTTGCTCAAATCCTAGCTCCACTGCTTATTTAATAGGTGACATTAAGCAATTTACTTAACCTTGTGGAGCCTTTCTTTCCTCATCTATAAAATGCCTGGCATGCGGCAAGAACTTCATAAAAGGTAGCAATTATCATATTATTTCTGAATATGATGGAAACTGTAGACGCTGTCCTCAGAGAAAAGAATCCATCTTGCATTTTTAGTATGTTGCATGCAATTTCAAGGGCTTTGAACACCCATCAAGGCCATTCTGGACCAAAGGTTAGAAACCCCTGGTCTACGGTTTAGAACGAACATATGAAGAAACCTGAACAGTAAAAATAATATTTTCTACTACTTTTGCTGGTTGTCATTTTAGGTTGTGTTTTCTTTTCCTTTTTGCCATGTTGGATTATTTGTGTGTTATGCCTACCGGGTCCCAATCAGACCAAGAGGATACATTGTACATTTAAAGAGTGTACAAAAGAGCAAAGTAAATGAGGGTTGTCTAGCACTTTAACACATCAGTTAGTTACCAGCAAAGTAGTAGGAAAGGCCAAGTCATTCATGCCAGATTAGGTTTTCAAAGACCACTGCTAAGCATGTGGATTTAATAGAGCCATGCTTCCGGTTCTTTAGATCAAAGATAAAGTTACTTTAAACTGCTTTGGGTGAGCTTTTCAGGCTTAACCTACTAGTCCCTAGCTCCGTTTTGTAATCGGAGCCAGCTAGGACTATTCTCTTTTATTTTCAAGGCTTCAGAAAAGAGTAAAACCAAATGCCTTTAGGTAGTTGCTCAAAGGAATAGCTTTCTTGTTCCTTTGCATTAGTCTGATCTCAAAGAAACACAGAAACCCCCTGGAATCTACCTTTGCCATTAATTCAAACAGCACCCAGACTGCTGGTGAAAATATATCTCCATAGTCTGTGGGAGCCTATTAGGCATGGATCTAGCCCTCATTTCTTCCATAACCACCCCCCAAATTCATAAAACCTAAGAATGAGTGAACATTTCAGGAAATGAAAAAAAATCCCATCTTGATGATATTATCACTGACTTTACCCATGCTCAGGACTGCTGATGCTAAGGGTGGAAAAGATTGGATTTGAGGAGAGAACAGGGTTGTACAGAGAAAACCAATCCTATATTTTCCTGTTGAAATTGGAAAGAAGGAGAAAAATACATGTGTCATTCCAAAGAGCCAGTTTTCTTATAAGAACTCCATCCCAAACAGTTCCTAACATCATCATTGCTCATGAAAGAAAAATGAATTGGTTTATAAATCCCATTTCTTGCTAAAAGGAACCAGAACTCTCTGGTAAAATTGTTGATTCTTGTGCCAAGAAGAAAAAGTACAAGATGAGCCTATAACATCTTATGCTAAAAGTAAGGGGGTACTCAAAAAATGATGTGAATGTGTCAAAAGGACACTAGAGCCAGTTGGAAGGACTCCCACTGGCCCAAACTGGGCCAATTTGAACATCAGAATAAAAGCAACATATTGTAACCCATGGAATAAGGTAGGACTCCATGAGTTCATGCTGGTATAAACACATAAACAACTGAAGGAATATAGAAGTAAATGTGGAAGAAGAAAACACTCTTCCTTGCAATAGAATACTAACTAATAAATGCTGAAAACTGATGGAGTTTTAAAAATCAACATTTTGTGACCATTGTATAAACCATTGAGGCAAGTATCATCAATAGATGAAAAACTTTTGGGTGAAAGTTTGATAACAACAGGGTATTTACATAGCTTCCAAATACTTCCCCAGAAATTAGTTCTTTTCTAAAGATTGACTCATTTATCTAGGAAAAAGAGAAAGAAAGTGAATGGGGAGGGGCAGAGGGAGAGAATCCTCATGCAAATTCCTGGATGAGCACAGAGCTCAACACAGAACACAGTCCCACGGCTCATGAGATCATGACCTGTTCTGAAACCAAGAATAGGACGCTTAATCGACTGAGCCCCCCCCCCCATGCACTCCTTCCCAGAAATTAGTTATTTTTTAAGATTTTATTTATTTATTTTAGATAAAGAGTGAGAGATAGAGAGCATGATGGGGGTGTAAAGGAAGAGGGAGAAGCAGACTCCCTGCTGAGCAGGGAGCCCAATGCGGGACTTGATCCCAGGACTCCGGGATTATATTATAGTAAGAGAATGTCCTTATTCTAAGGAAATACTCACTGAGATATGTAGGGGTAATGAGACATTATGTCCACAACTTACTCTCAAATGATTAAGAAATAGTATATGTGTGTGTGTGTGTGTGTGTGTGTGTGTGTGTGTGTGTGTAGGGAGGAGGAAAGAGAGAGAGAGGAAGACTACTAAAATGCAGGGAAAATGTAATAGTCGGTGAACCCAGGTAAAAACATGTAGAAGTTCCTTGTCCTGTTGTAATTTTTCTGCAAATTTTAAATCATATCAAAATAAAAGAAAGAAAAGAAAAAGAAAATGGTATTTGCTCTACATTAAAAAGCAGATGACAAAATTGGCAACCTTGGGCCCCTCTGAGGAAGACAGAGCCTTGGACCACAATGAGTTATCCAGAGTAGAGAGCAGGAGACCACATCAAGGACAACCCTTGCCAAGGAGGACAATTCAGAAGTTACTCACAGCAGCGCAGTCTCATGTCAACAGTTGGAATGATCTTGTTGATGAGCCAAACATCTTCTTCCCAACTAACAACATTTCCACCCAAACACTTCATAAACTCCTCATTTTCCACGATGTGGTCCCAAAGTTGAAAGTAGTACAAGCTGCCAGTGAAGCCAGGCAGTGCACTTTCAACCTGGCTGTCCCAGTTCATAAGAGAGTGTCCTAGAATCAGAGTCCCATTAGGTGTCAGGTTTTGTGGTTGATCCATCATTACAAGTATCCTTTCTGTATTCAGGAAGAGCTCTAATCTGCCCTTCACACCATCCCACATCAAACAGACTGTATACCATTGAAACGGAGTCAGGTGGTAACGGATATAAAAGGTCTTGCCCAAGCTGTGTAGTATTAGCTGCTGATGGTCTCCTCCAAGTCCAAGGTTTATGTCTTCTCTGCCCAGGAAGGCATTACTGGTAATATAGGAGAAGGCCATCCAATTACTTGATTTGTCATCCACGAATACCAGGTCAATGCATGCTGTGAATCGAGTGAGTTCAGGAATCGTGTTGGTCAGGCTCACGTACATGTCAGCTCTTCCATAAAAATCCAGTCTTTTTCCTTTTAGTGAAAGTGCATCTGTCCAAATTTGGAGAAGGGGAAAGAGAAAGCAAATGAAATTTCAGTAACAAAAATTCAATTTTATCATCTTCTTTAGCCACATAGTCCATTCCGGATTACACAATGCTATCATGAGTCAATACTGGTGCAAAACAAACAAAAAAGAAAGCCCAAATACTGGATATACACAAATCATCTCTATTTGACATTGGCATGTGACATTTTCTGGCAGAAGAGTTTCTTCCTAATTATATTTTGCCTGGGCTAATATTAAAAGTCAGATTAGTGTTCCCAGAGCACACACCAGCTGGACAGTTTGGGGAGGCAGTTAGAAGTGTGTAGCTAGTTGGCAGGGAGGAGGCCAAGAAAAAGGCAGCTTGGACTTAAAATCTGCTGCACATAATCTTCACTCGTGTAATCAAAAGATAGCTATTTCCATCCACCTAACTGCCTTATTATATTCATGGTGCAACAGCAATTTATTTCTCCAATGCCTTTTCCTGAGCCAAATTACTTGATTTATTCTGTCTCTGGAGACTGCTTCTCACTGAAGGCACCAACAGGGACCTGGGGGATGACCAGTTGGACAATAGTGAAGCTGCAAGGCTTCTGTTTGCACTCAGGAATGGGAGGAATGGCACTGCCCTGAGTGTACCCTGATGCCTTCCTTCCAACACATTACGGAGGGAGCTGTATGTCTTTAAGAGCTTCTAGGTGGCAGGTTTCTGGGTGGCTCAGCTGATTGAATGTCTGACTCTTGACTTTGGTGATCTCAGGGTCCTGAGATTGAGCCCCACATCGGCTTCCCACCCAGCGGGGAATCGGTTTGTTTCCCCTCCATTTGCCCCTCCCCCTGCTCATGCTCTCTCTCTCTCTCTCTGAAATAAAAAAAAAAAGGTTCTGGTGGCCATGGACCCAGTTACCACCAGCTCTGAAGTCAAAGAGCCTGCACTGGAACCTCAGCTCTGACATTCGTCAGCTGTGTAACTTTGATCAAGTAGCTTAATCTCCCCATGCCTCAACGTCTGCCTCAGTATGCACACACAACTCAGAGGATTACTATTTATATTATAATTTATACCAGATAATAGCCCTATCTACTGATCATACAAGACTGTTTGGAAAATAAGTGAGATGATGCATGCAAAACCCTCTCAAACGTTGCTGAAGAACATGCCCATCAGTACAGTCATTTGGTGGGCAATTTGGCAATATCTATGAAAATTTAAATTGGGGCAGCCCGGGTGGCTCAGCAGTTTAGCGCCACCTTCGGCCCAGGACGTGATCCTGAGGACCTGGGATTGAGTCCCACATTGGGCTACCTGCGTGGGTCCTGCTTCTCCCTCTGCCTCTCTCTCTCTGTGTGTGTGTGTCTCTCATGAATAAATAAATAAAATCTTAAAAAAAAAGAAAATTTAAATTGAGTATGCCCTTTGTTTCAATAGGAAGCTATTGGTGAATCGTGATGCAATCATCATGACAAACCTCACACCCCAGGCCCTTAGGCAAATATCTTGAGAACTGCTGAACATCAACCTAATTCCAGCGCCAGCACAGCCCAAGACAAACCAAAAAGAGCTTTATGACAGAACGGAATTCCAACCTCCCTCTAAATTAGGGGCATGACATTGGGACCACCACTATAAAACTGATAGCCAGAACAGCACGCTACAAAGGCCGGCAGGAAGTGGCCACTTCCCTGCTTCTGAGAGATATCCCCAGGTGCAAGCTTCTAGATATTCTCTAGCCCTACAATATTCTCTCCCTCATTCCTCCACTGAATATCTTTCAAAGGCAAGCAAGTACATGCCTGCCCACACACACGCATGCGTGTGCATGCGCAACCCCCCCCCCCCCCAAGTGCTGGAGCCCTTACCATCCACCTGCCAGGGAGCTATTTCTGAACTGTCCATGGTAGATGAGCAAATGTTTATTTCTGTCCCTGGCTTATGTGATTATATTATCTTATCATCTTTCATGTGGCTAATAAATCAAAAGGTAACCCCACAAAGTGATAATCACTAAGAAACCCAATATTGATCATGGTTGGCTAACTGCTTTTCTGTTCAGCCCTCCAAAATGACGTCAAATACAATGTTTAAGAACGAGTTTCAGGGATCCCTGGGTGGCGCAGTGGTTTGGCGCCTGCCTTTGGCCCAGGGCGCCATCCTGGAGACCCGGGATCGAATCCCACATCGGGCTCCCGGTGCATGGAGCCTGCTTCTCCCTCTGCCTATGTCTCTGCCTCTCTCTCTCTCTCTCTCTCTCTCTCTCTCTCATGTGACTATCATAGATAAATAAAAATTTTAAAAAAATTAAAAAAAAAAGAACGAGTTTCACGGTGCCCTCCAAAATGACGTCAAATACAATGTTTAAGAGCAAGTTTCATGGTGAGCATAAAATACTACGTTTAAGAACAAGTTTTATGGGATCCCTGGGTGGCGCAGTGGTTTGGCGCCTGCCTTTGGCCCAGGGCGCCATCCTGGAGACCCGGGATCGAATCCCACATCGGGCTCCCGGTGCATGGAGCCTGCTTGTCCCTCTGCCTGTGTCTCTGCCTCTCTCTCTCTCTCTCTCTCTCTCTCTCTCTGACTATCATAAATAAATAAAAATTAAGATTTAAAAAAAAAAGAACAGGTTTTATGGTGAGCATAAATCTCCAGGGTTTATTTGTCCCTTAAAAGAGAATGTATCATAATCCCATGTTGTCTACTGGGTTTCTCCTCTCTACAATACTCTAATATAAAGCCAGTTGCCAAAGGACACAAACAAGCAGCTTACTAAATGAGAAATACAAAAAGATGGCCTCTTACTATTTTTAAAACACAAGTTACAATAAGATACTATTTTTACGTTTTGAAATTATAGCATTTTAGACGGAGAATACCCAGCATGGACAAGCTTGTGAGGAAACAAGTCATTTTAATACACCGTGGGAAGACCAATTAGTACAGTCTCTTTTTTAAAACCTTATTTATTTACCTTTTAGTCTTCTCTACACCCAATGTGGGGCTCCGACCCCCGAGATCAAGAGTCACGTGCTTTACCGACTGCACCAGCCAGGCACCCCAGTAGTCTTTTTTCTGAAGGGCAATCTGTCAGTGTCTATGAACATTTTCATTGTATATGGCTGTGTATATGCTTTTTTTAAAGATTTTATTTATTTATTCATGAGAGACACACAGAGAGAAGCAGAGACACAGGCAGAGGGAGAAGCAGGGAGCCCGACGTGGGACTTGATCCCGGGTCTTCAGGTTCTGCCCTGGGCTGAAGGTGGCACTAAACCACTGAGCCACCTGGGCTGCCCTGTGTATATGCTTTGACATAGCAATTCTGTTCCTTATCAATTTATTCTAGACAAATCTACATGTATACAAAGATGCAGGTACAAGGATATTCATTGCAGTATTGTTTGTGATTGAGCAAAAGTAAGAAGATCTGTATGTCCATCCATAAGTGACTAGTTAAGCAATTCTTACCTCTATATAATGGACAATTAAACATATAAGGTAGATCTACATAGTCATGAAGAGATTTCCAAGGCTTGATGCTACATGAAATGGAAGTTACATAAGTGTAGATATAGTATTATCCTGCTTTTTATCAATAGAGAAAAATATGTGCATTAGCATGCATAGAAAAAATCTAGAAGAACACACATCAAGCAGTTAAGAATGAGTATCCTTAGATGTGAGATTTAGGGGGTTCTGGGGTCTTGCTTTCTATATTACTTATTTCAGTAATATTTGCACTTTTTATACAATCCTGTGTTAAATTTATAATCAGAAAAATAAGGATGGATGGATGGATGGATAGAACCACTTGTGGCCATATATGAGATTCTGTGGGCAGAGCTAATTTCTACATAGATGTGAGCAGAAGTGTGGGGCAGTGGAATCCAAAAAGCTGCCTTTGAGTCCTGGTTCTGCAGCTTACTAGCTGCATCAACATGGGCAATTAATGAACGAGAAAGCTTTTAGGACAGTGGCATTTAGTGAGCACTGTATGAAAAATAAACCCATGTCACTTCTCTGTGTCTTATTCCTCCATGCTAAGATAGGAATAGTAATTACCTTCCTGGCGGGGCCATCATGAAAGATGAGGCTGTAATACAACTGCCATTTATGTTATGTATGTGAAACATTTATAAACTGTGAAGCCCCAGGTAAATGTCAGCTGGCATGTTCACCACTATCACGATTAGAAGTCTCTTTCTTCTCCCACAACCTCTTTTGTACCCTTACACAGCCAAGCACATCTGCATTGAGCTCTGCTGCAGCCCTCGGGGCCCCCAGCAGGGCTCAGAGGGGCCCAGGCTGTGACAAGGCAGGACAAGGGCTTTGCCCTTCTGTTTGGCCAGGCAAGCAGCATTCTCTGCTGGGCCTCTCCAGGGCCTGCTTCAAAGGCCACTTGTGTCTTTGCATATGATTTAACTATCCATTGCAGATGTCTGCTTGGACGTTGCCATCTGTTCCCTGGCAATTTTCAAGTCCAAATTGCATGATTGCTCCCCTGAAGCGTGTTCTCTCTTGATTTGGCTCCTCTGTGTCTCCTCGCCTCTATCCTGCTTCCTTTTATTTTAAATTACATTTATTGTTGTCCTCGCTTTAAAAAAAAAGGTGTTTCTTCCATTATAAAAGTGATACTGTACATGATTTTTTTTAAAAAAGGAAAATATTAGAAAAGTAAAAAGATGAGAACAAAGTCAGCCAGAGTCCTACCACCCATAGACAACATTTTGGTAAATTTCCTTTGGCGTTTCTTTTCTTCTGGGCATGGGTTTTGTTTGTTTCTACGTGGCTGAGACCATATTGTATGGAAAATTTGGTATCCTGCTTTTCTCACTTAACGTGATGACATAAGTGTTTTCCATGTTAGGAAAAACTTATCATAAGCCTCATTCAAATGGCTATGCTACAGCCCTCAGAGTGCCAGGCACCATTTGATTTGCACTGAGAAAGTTCGCATAACACAAAATTCACCATTTAATCATTTTAAGGTATACAATTCAGTGGTAT